TAATGACTGAAAAAAGCACTTTACCTTACGTATCTTATTTGTCTTTCCCTAGAAGTTTACTATTAGGTTGTTATTTGTATCTATTAATTACCATGTTTCTAAATGCCTTTATTTTAAGGGTGCTGTACCCATTTCAGCTAATTTGAATTGCAAGTCACATCCTAGAAAAATGAGAATAGAATTTCAGGCCTCATCTTTATGCCTCAGCTGTTGCAAATGAGGAATACTACAAAGGTTTAGGTTTAGGGCACAGGGCACTGGTAACAAGGTTTCCTTCTCCCCATAGGGGTTTTTATATGTCAAATGATCAGTGTAGGTTGCAACAAAGAGTAAAAGAAAATTAGACTAGATCTATTATAAGTAAATTCTTATTAAAAATTAAGTATCTGTTATTTTGACATTTTTAATTAATAAATACCAAATTTTCTTGCGTCCCAAGTGAACAGATGACTCTTTATCTTGATTTCAATACTTTTGACACTATACCACAATTAAATTAGATTGTGCATTTTTAGAAACTCAATTATTATTCCCAATATGATCCAAATACTTAAGACTCTGTCCAGCAGAGTGTTTTTCTCCTTTTCATTCCCTCCCCTTTGCCTCTCCTGTCTTGTTTCTACCTGTCTCATGTCACAGCGCACCTGCAAACACAGAGAGACCTTTTGCCACCAAATTAGAGGGAAAGCGTAACTAGCAAAGTGACGGAAACAGAACTCAGGACAGGGGAAACTCAATTTAGGAAATTGAGGAAGGATGAGATAAGATAAGTTCAATAGAAAACAGCAGTCTCATGTGAGCATCTTTGGGCCAAGGTTGAGCTATCATTAAGCACAGGAGACTAAAATAGCATCCCCAGTACATTGAGCTGTAGATGTGCCACCACTTCAGATCTTGTCCCAAGCAGCTCTGTTCCATGTGCAGGGGAACATGAGCTGGTTAGAGCTGCTGGGAGCTAAGTAGGCTTCCTTCTTTCCATTTCTTATTTTCCGGGTCACCCCAATCTGTTTCTAATGTATTTCTAAGAATTGCACTGGACATGACAGATGGCGCCTTTCTTCGGTTCAGTCCTAACCAAATTTTCACTGACTGCTTTAAAGGGAAAAGGGCTGGCCCAAAAAGTAGAGTCTGGATTGATCTGGAGAAAGCTGACACACAGTTGCAACAATTTTTGATCTGGGTGATGTCTGATGAAACAATTTCCTCTGAAACAAAAAAGAGCTTTCCTACCTTTACTGAAGATTATTTTCTAATGCTCAACCATACTTCAGGTGGCTAACTGTGGGTGTCAATGATCTTTTATTCTCTGAATAAAAAGTAAAATACCCACAATAAAAAATACAATTTTCAGGACTAGAGAGATGGCTCAGAGGATAAGAGAACTGGCTGGCTGCTGAGTTCGGTTTGCAGAATCCACATGGCAGCTAACAACCGTCCAGTTTCAGGGACTCCAACACCCTTTTCTGGCCTCTATGGCATTGCACACATGTGGTAGCACACATATACATGCAGGCAATATATTCATACACATAAAATAAAAATAGACAAATGATCATTCTCAAGTGTCAATTACCAATCTTGCATCCTTATAACAAAAAATTAATAAAACACAATGCATCAGAGCTTTTTCTTCTTCCTTTTCTAATTTTCTAAATAAAACAAAAAGCTTGTTTTTGACTCCTTAGAGCCATGAGACGATCTGATATCTTCCCATTCACTCCTCTCACACCTCATCACTATCTGGCCTAAATATCAGAAGAAGTTCTGTTGCCTTTAACTTCCTTATCATGTCCCATTTCTGGGCCCAGTTCTGCAATGATGTGTAGGCAATCCCAAGTGTGTCCCATGTGAGATAAACAAAGAGCAGGACCACCAGTAAGGCACCAGCAGACACAAAGTCAAGCCTCTTAATTTCCACTTTCATTTCACAAGTAAGCACTTGGCAAAAGCAAACATTCTGTTGGATGCCATTTTCATAGAGCCTATGTGGTTGGAGATTAATTGATATTTCATTTCTACTTCAGAAGTACTCGCATAGGCTATTTGGTTGTGCTTTGGTATTGTATTAGTCAAATGATATTGTTATTCAACAAATATTTGTTAAGTGCCTACCACAACACTTACTAAATAGCAGGTATTTGTAATTATTGATTAATACGTCAAAAGAACTTGTCATATGCAGATTCAGTACTGTTTCTTGGATAAGATGATTCATAAGCAGAGATGGAAATATTTTCCTCTAGAGCCCTGACACTGACTCTGAATCACTTACACATTGAGAATGTTCAGGCCTGGTCTCTTCCTTCCTCTTCCCATCACCATAACTGCTAATGAGACAAGTAATCTAAAAGCTGAGTAAAGTGCCTGTAAATCTTTCCCCAAGGCTCTACTCAACAGTATGTCCTGCTCTGGGCCCACTGCAGGAAAGTATGCACTATTAGAGACCCTGAACCTTTCTCTGCAATCAAAAGCTTATGAATCAAATGCAGCTGGCCTGCAGCAATCAGATGCATATTGGCTCTTCCAGGATAGTAATACCAAGCACTGTTTTGCTAACAAGAGCATAGCTGTTGCCCAGTAACTCTTGCACCAGTATGGAACTTCAGGATTAAAATAATCCTTGCACTCCCCTCAGAGGTCCCTTACCTGGACTTTCCATCTCCATCAGCAAGAATTCCCCTGCCCTTTTCACATGCTCTATCACTTTGAAAACTCTTAGTAATGTAATTTATAACATTCTATTAAAATTATTTATTTAAGTGCTTACCAGATTTCCCACGAGCAGGCACACCCAGGCAATATCCCATTCACTGTTCCTCTCCAGAGGTGTAAACAAGACCAAACACTTGTCTTAAAACAAGCAGTGAGAAAGGGAAACACTATAGATATATGCAGAATATGCTGTTAGGGGGATATAAAGGGGTCCTTGAGGACAATTTGGACTTTGTAACCTGGAGTCAAAATCAGCTTCCCTGGGGCTGCAGTGACTGAGCTACAGAACAGACCATTAAAGTTACGTGCTATGTCCCAGATATCCCTGAAATGTAAACACCTCATGATTTTAAATAAATGAATGAAATAATAGATGAATGAATGAATGGAGGAAGACAACACTCCTGAGGTTCTCTCAAGGAAAGTGCATTAATATCAAATATCTGTCAGGCCCAGGCCAAATTCAGCTAGGAACAGAATTCTGTGCTTGCAACAATGAATGAAACAAAACTCTTTCTTACAGGGTCCTTAACTTTGTGATAACTCCTACCAGTCCAGCATACCACACATTCACACACACACACACACACACACACACACACACACACACACCAGAATTACAAATAGCTCCATCACTTAGAGGATTTGCTACTCAATGCTCACATAATTCTTCCCCAACCTATAAACTTTCAGTTTTATGATCAACATCATTTAGGCGCCTGTGTATCTCTGTCTAGTGTTCTACAAATTAGAGGTACCTCTATCTAAATACTGTGAAGGTGTGCAGCTTGTGCCAATACAAAGGATGGGCACAGCTTCAGAGCTGAGGAGAATACCAGCCCCAAAGATTTCAGCAATAGAAAAGACAACTTAATTTCCTTAGCAAACATCCCTCTCTCAGATAGAAAGGCCGTGATAGATTCTCACATAAGAGTTATTGCCCCTCTTCAGATGCCAATGTGAGATTTTAGAAGTGCTCACAAATCAGAACTATATTCATAGCAGCTACAGACAGAGGTTGGAGAAAATTCCAAGAAGTTAAGCAATACATAGTATATGCATACATTGTATATCTTTACGTAGCTCTAGATGTATGTGTGCAGAATAATAAAAATTCTTTATGTTGGCAACCAGATTAGATCAGCTTTCAGTTTTAGAATTAGGATGGTTTTACATTTATACAAATAGTCAAGATTTTTAATAATTTTAAATGTTAACCTTATTTGGCAGTTGCTGTATTTGTTAATTACAATGTTTATTTTAACTCTTACTTTTCATAACTATTGGTCACTGTGGTAGAAATGTAGCTTTTAATACATATAGGATAAACAACCGCAATTTTTATTTTTACTGTTTACTTCATTTTTAACAGAACATGACCAAAATGGATAGTTTGTTCATAAGTTCATAAGTACATTTTATTAATCATTTAACTCATTTCTACAAATAAAACTTAAATTATGTTAAACATTGAGTATAATTACATAACTATTGGCTTCACTAAAATAAAGAGAAAATGTATATTGTAGAGTGAACATATAAAATCAATGAATAACATGTACTTTATAACTCGTTCCCTCATCACTGGCTCATCAACAAACATGCACAATAAAAGTTAAATTAGTCATAGTTAATAGTTGCCAAATTTCCATTTGTCATTATAAAGGTATAATTGTCAAAACAGAAAGCAAAATATATTTCACCTGATCGTTAGCTCAAGTTGGCATCTTTATGAGTGTAGATATATGTTGTACAGGCCTCCCTTCTTCTCACACCAGGTGCTTAATGTTAGGGGTGACCAGCAAGTGAGTGACCAAGTGAACAGAAACTGATTAACACTCCAAAGTAAGCCAACAATAAAAACGGGAAAATGAGCTGTTTCTTGGTCATTCTTAGTCTCAGACAGAGCCACACGGCATGCGGGCTGTGTAAACTGGGAGTTACTGGTTACGGAATCAGCACTGGACAGAGTCTGCTTTGCTCTTGTCAAATATTTCTAGGAAGACTGGTATCTTTGGATGGCTGGAGTTTGTATCTGTGTTTAAAGACAAAGAATGCAAATGGAAAAGTGGCTGTTGGGAGCCACAGGCCCTTTCAGAGGGATGAGGACTTAAGTGTGATAAAGCCAGCAAATTCACTCCTGGGCATCTAGATGGTCTCCATGTGTCTGGTTCACTGTAGTGTGTTTATGATGACTAAGGCAAGAGTCTGGAAAAATATGATTATTCTGTCTGGGTTTTCATTTCAGAGCCCTCAAAGAGAAGTTCATTAATCTTTCACAAATGCATATATCTTACTTTATATTTACTTATTGTGAAACTTGTTATATGCTTTTACTTTTACAGTTCATCTCTCATCATTAGACATTGCCAAAGTCTGGTAAATTTCATCCCATGATTTTCAGTCATCTTGAAGTTTGCCGAAATTTTTCATAGTTAGGGTAGCCTGTGCTGTTTTCACATTTTACCACACTTCACATTGTAAGTCAGGGTCTTGCGTGATCAAACACTCACCAAGCATAAGAAAATTTAGACCAAAAACCAAAAGACAAAAAGAGTGACAATCTGAACAAAAAAGAGATCTTCTTAAATTATGTAGGTTTATCCCACTCAAAGGATACATGCGGAGTGAACCAGGTATGACTCCAGTGTTTAAAGACGTTTCAGACATCACCTGCAGATACACAACAATCAAGATGTAGCTAAAAAGGCAGCATTCTGTCTCACAGTGAGGAAAACAGCCTGACAGCCTGTGATGGGTGTTTTGAAAGCAATATGTTGGTCTCCAAAGTGTTCTATTCCTTAGCAATATTCCAAATCAAAACTAATTTTGATTATTTACTTAATTTAGAAAGCAAATTTACAGCCTAGACCTCACATTTCTTTCTTCACCATCTTTGGAAGTGAGCCTCCAGAATCTGCATTTCCTCATGCTCTCCAGGTGCTTCTGGTACATTCCACAGTCAAAGAACCAATGTGTAGGTGACTCTTAGTAGTGCCTGTACATTGGGATCATGTGGAGAGATGCTGTGACATAGTAAAACCTGCCTCATCACATACTAATAATCCAGAAACTCTTGGGAAGGACCTGGACATTGTGCATCTGCAAAGCTCCCAAGATGATTCTAATGTACACCAAGGACTGAGAATCACTTGCTTCAGACTTCTTTCTTCCACAGTAGCTCAGTTGCAGGCTGCGGTTTCAATTGCATTCAACAAACAGAAGACACTGGGGTGGGGGGGGGAGAAGAACAAGGAAAACAAGATAAATGTCAGAGTCAAAGGGAAAGAGAAACTCTGGCGAGCCTCTTCACAGCATGGGCTTTCAAAAGCAATCCGCATCAAAGTCTAACTGAGTCTCACCAAGCATGAAAGTGAGCGACATTTGGTGGAGCTTCCAGAGAGGCTCTTGGATACTTCATGTGTGGCCTATAAACAATTTAAATTGAATCCATGTCCCCGTTCCTTAGACTGGCCCATGATATGCCTCATTGGAATAAAGAAGGATAAAGTTGTTCCTTGTTCTAAAGAACAAAATGTTTGCTCCTGGAAAGAAGTATTTATTTTGCACAAGCTATTTGAATATAGCTATATCTACTGTCTGTTATAAACTTCTTGATGACTATGTCCTACAAGCAGGAAAAGTACTATTACCCCCATATTAGAGGCAGTAAAACTGTGTGGAAATGTCAAGTATCCTCTACAGAGCAGCAGGCCAAAAACCAGGACACCACCCAGATCTTCTGACCCAAATCCAGTTCTCCTCATTCAATTCAAGTTTACTAATGTTCTCTTACCCCTAAGAATAAAAAGACCCCGATTATATGAAAAATTCTCACCTACCAGCATCACCCTTATGATGGCTATTGCTTGCTGCTTTATATTTTATTATCATTCACAGAACTGGCTCTGTCTTGCTGGTCTACATAAAGAGGACTGGTATGTGTCTGATTCACCTTTAAATTCTCTGTAATGCTCAGTCCTGAAAAATGATAGGCAATCAATAAGTGTGCCTTGGATAATCAAATGAAAATAAAGATCATGTGTATTTGAAATTTCTAATTATAAAACTTCCACACCAGCGTAAGCATAATCTTGCTGATCACTAACTGATATAACGTTTTCTTGAAAAATATGCTTCTTTGTTTCTCTAATAGTGGCATTAACAATTGCTAGCCTGGTGGTCAGCCCAAATGTTAAACACAGAAGAAATAACATAACAAAAATTAGTAATGTCTTAAGAAATTAGTATTTGGTAGGGTGGTGGTGGGGTGGGAAACTAAAAACGATGTTCAAAAAAGATACATAGAAACTCACTATTTTATAATCTTACATACATATATATATATATATATATATATATATATATATATATATATATATACGGAGTTACCATATATAGGGGATTATGTTCATTCCAGTAGGTTGCCAAATAAAAAGCCCAGTGTAGGGTATGAGCCACCTCCTCTCCAGCTGTAGGTCAGCAGTCTCCTCAAGACCCCCAAAACAGTACAGGCTATTATCACTGTTTTTGGTTGCCCACCAGAACTTGATGGTAAGGCCCCATTGTTGAAGACACTGAACACTTTGGTCACAAGACATAGAGAAATGAGGTTGTAACTGGCCAGGAAGCTTCCTCCTTGCTGACTAGCTTTCATAGTACCAGAAGGTGCTATCAGGCTGATGTGGGGAAAAAAGCCATCGACAGTCTTACTCAACTTTGAACCTTGTGAGTCACAATAACAACTGTTGTGCCATGATATTCCTATGGGTAGAAAAGTGGCTTTTGATTAGATTTTAGGCCCACTCCACAGTTGGAAACATATGACTAGAATACCGTAAACCAGGCCAAAAACCCATGGTTGGGAAATTCATGGTACTTACCTACTACTACTATTTTGCTAAAGAAACATAATAGCAATCTGCCCTCTAAATGTGCATCTCTAGACTCATAGATGAATGTAGCTCTCAGAGCTCCTCAGAGAAACTCCCTTGTGCCACGGGAGGCAGTTAAAACAGAAACTCATGACTGCTCAAAGTGCAGAGACTAAGTGTCTGTGGAATGCTAAGCTACAAATGGATATCTGTATCACATCCCTCCTCCTGCAAGGCTGAGAAGAGGGAGCAGAAAGATGACAGGAACCAGAGGTCAGGGAGGACTAGAGTAAAACAGTGTCTTCTAAAAATGAAGGCCCACTGCACTCATGGACCAACTCAGCTGTGGTTGCCCGCACAAAATCAATTCAGCCAACAATTCAGCTTGGAGGAGTGAGGCTATCCTGAGCCCCCATCCCTAGCTGAGGAGCTATAGGCAGTTGATGGCTTATAAGTTGATGTCTCTCCAGTCAGTTTTCTTTAAGGGTTTGACCCTAGTAGGTTGACCATGTTCCAGTGGATGGCCCCATACCCATGAGTTTATGGGCAGCACAATTGAACTCAGTAGTTTTTTTTTAAAGGACACAAAGTTGAGAGGGTTTGGGAGAGAGGGTTGGATCTGGGGTAGATCTGGGAAAAGTTAGGGGAAAAGTGGTTGAATATGATCAAAATACACTGTATGCATGTATGAAAGTCTCAAAGAATTAATGCTTCATTAGTTTTGTTTTTAAAAAAATGAAATCATTATTTAAGTTCAAGATCAAGACGACTGGAAAGATGCCCAGTAGTTAAGAGCACTTAGTGCTCCTCCAGAGGACCTGAGCTGGATTCCTTGTACTCGCCTGTAACTCTGGCTCCAGGAAATCCAGCATCCTCTTCTGACCTCTGTGGGCAACTGCACTCATGTTTACATATCCACCCCAACACACAACTACTAACAAAAATAAATCTTAAAAAATTTCAGATCAATTTTTTTTTCTTCTACAGTGGAGGGGCAGACAGGCCATAGATAAGCCCTTTATAAAGAATTACCTTTAAAATGTCTTTAATTAAACAAATCTCTATGCTAAGAGAAACAACAAAAGCCCTTTAGTATACCAAATAGCTATACTGAAAAAGAGCCAGGTTTGGGCAAGGATATGGAGAAGAGGAACTGGAACACAAGGCTAAGAGCAGATTCCATCAAACCATATTTACGAAAATCAGAAAAATTCAGTTAAAAATGAAAAAAGAGTGGAAATTGACACAACACTTTGAAAAGAATGTATCAAAACTGATGCTGCTATGTACATATATGTACCAATTGATATA